TTATTGGAAAGATGGCAGCCAACTTGGCTGCCTAAATCCAGTGGGAACTGAGCAGTTGACAGCCCACAATACTGCTGTCATACAGCTGGCCCACCTCACCAACTAGCAACCCACTTGCCCAATTGTCTAGGCCTCCTTCCAGCCACTTTCCAGCTGGTTTCCAGCCACTTTCCAGACAGGTGCAGCCATTGTTGACTAGTCAAATAGGTTAGAATTCAAGGCATTCCAACAAAAGTGGAGCCTTATTTTGGGACTCACAAAAAAGGAAATGTGAAACCATTTTATGTAGCAGGAGTATTAAATCATACACATGGCTGTTGCATATGTATAGTGGGGCTTTATAGAAATATGGCCATTGAGATCAATCCTCTTTCTCCATGTGGGGGTTTATTTGTTTTTATTTCCTTCTCCACACTCTATATTTGCATGTTGTTGCATTTTCACTGGGCCATTGGGTATAAAGTGATCAATCTATTGTCAGATATAAGTTTAGAACATCACACAGGGAACATATATCTTGACGTGTTCTAATTGAACTTGGTTTTATTTTTAGTTCAACAGTAGGCAGAAGGCATAATAGTGGATAGTTTAAATGACATTTAGTTAAATTTCTGATGGCAGATGGGGTGATGTCAGCTGAATGGTCAGCTTCAAGCGAGTGGGTTCTGATAACTGGGGGGTGTGACGGTGCAATTCGCTTTTGGGACATCAGGCGAGCTGGATGCTTTCGTGTTTTAGATCAGTCCCATTGTCAGCTTGGGAGACGCCCTCCTCTACTTGCACGTTCTGCTCCAAATAAGGTATTCTTTTGAGATTAATTTGCTTCAGAAGAACTTTTAGCTCTACTCATTGTCAACGTATTTTTTTCTTTCATAGTCTAGACACCCTATTAACTTTCTTTTCCTTTTTATTGTGTCTTTCTTTTTCATATGTTTATCGATCTTCTTAGCAGAGTTCAACTTCTAAATCTCCATCAGCAGTTCATACTTCATCTATAAAGGCTCGTCCATCTCTACGAAAATCATTAATTGGTAACAACCACAGGCAGTCTTTTATTGATAGGCAAGTTAGTAGGGGGTCGTTGAGGCAGAGATCACATCCAGGGATGTTAACCACTCAAGATCGTGCCACTGCTCACTATGGTGTTGTAAGTAGTTTGAAAGTGACTAATGATGGCATGTATCTCTTAAGTGCAGGTAGTCTTTCTATTTTTCTTAATAATACAGAGTACGTATTTTGAATTTTTTCTTCATCAAATATTTAATGAAATTAGTGTGGATTGTGTTATGACCTATATGTTTTAGCTATGTTTGGAATGCGGAATTGGTGGCGAATGGGGGAAAATGGTAAAAAAACATTTGTTCTTACCTCAAAAAATATTGAGGAAAAATTGATTTTAAAAATTTAAAGTTCGATGTATATGTAGATCTCTGAGTGTATATAGCAGAAAACAGAAATATGAATAAACTACTCGGGTATCTAAAATTGTTTTATTGAGTGCTCCCCCCCCCCCACCCCCCCTCCCTCCTCGTTTCCTAACTTTTGGATTTTGAATGGACCTTTAAGTCATACTCTGTAATCTGTATTTTTTATGACTCCAGGTTCTGATTCAAGGCTAAGGTTATGGGATATAGGATCTGGTTGTAATACATTAGTGAACTATGAAACTGCACGCCTTCAAACGACCAAGGCTCTACAAGTTGACATATCCCGTGATTCTTCTGTCGCTTTCGTTCCATGCATGATGACCACTAAAGTGAGGATCTCTTCAACTCTTCACTGCCAATTTTTACTCCGTAATTCTTTAAATAAGGCTTCAAGTTCATTTTAAAAAAAACGAACCTTTTTCTTAAAGATCTACTCCGTAATTCTTGCGGAGTATTTAGTTTAGTAAAAGTATATGCAGAGTATAGTTTATTAGTTAATATCTTGTAGGCCTTTGATCTATGGTCGGGAAAGGCAATGATGAATTTTCATGGGCATTACGAGAATGTAAATTGTTGTTGGTACAATCATCAGGACCAGGTACAACAAAAATGTAAATTGTTGTTAGGGTTGTCTAGCTGAGGTTTTCTGCAAGTATAACCGGTGAAACTTATCTACCTTCGTTGCAGGAACTATACACAGGAAGTAATGACAAGCAAATCCTGGTGTGGTCGCCAACCAAAATTGCAATTGAAGAAGAATCGGTATGTATTGGAAACCAACACTTTTATCTATCTATCTATATATATATATATATATATATATATATATATATATAACTTAAATCTTCTGAATATATATGCATCAATCACAGAATTTGGGTTCAACAAAAACTAATCAGAATCTTCTTAACTGTGCTCTCTGGTGGGGTTGTAATGCAGGAGGTAAAGATGAAATTGGGTGTTGATGAAGATAATTGGAGTGACTGACTGAAGACCATTGCTTCTTTTTACTGGGTTTGAAGGTTCTTCTATTGTTCATTCCTCTTCAGTAATAATTTTATGTTTCGTTGCCAAAGCTCACATGAAGTGAACTTATGAACAATATAGCATTCAATGGATTGAAAACAGAGTTCACACTATCAAGTAGTTTTTGGTTCAATATTTTCCGGTTCGGTTTATTTGGTTATTTCAAAAAATTTCAGCATGGGTTTGGTATTTACTTACTCTTAGTTGGTGTCTTTCTTATTGAAAGACCTAATGCATATAACTATCTACAAGTTGAAAAAATAAATATGGATCTAAAGACCATAAAAGAATTTGTCTAAAATAAAAATTGAAATATTGAGATTGATGTAGTCATGTAAAGACATTGTACGTCACGTAAAACAATTAAATACGGAGTATAAAATATTACACATTTGTAAGTCACCTAAAGCATTTGTTCAATTTTATAATCTCAACCTCAAGTACAAAGATGGGTATTGAATAATTAAATATGAGTGATTAGAATTTATTTTAAAAAATAGCATTTTGAATCACATTTTTTCCTAAAAGAGAAAAAATGAATCAATCATTTTGAAACAAATACAAAAGAGAGAAATCTTTTATGGGGTTCAAGGAATAATCCAATTCCTTAAATAAGAGTTGGTATTTTTATCCTAAAAATAGGATATAATTATTAAAATAAATATTACAAGTACTTATAATTTTTTTTTGCACAGTAGTACTTACAACTTTTCAGTACTATTAATTCTATTACAAATAACATATAACTAAATATTTTTCCCTTGCTGAATATTTGTCTATTTTTTACTTTTTTTTGTCAAAATTGGTAAACTTTGATTTTAAATTAGATAAAAATGATATTAGATATTGTTAATTTTACATTTATTATATAAAATATTTTGAAATGAAACTTTTTAAAGAGGACCAAGGGAATAGATTATATAGTATATTGAGAAATAAGATGAGTCATCATTACTTTTAGAGACATTTATAAAGTACTCTTGCAACAACATAATTTTAAAAATGAGAAAAATAACAATATGTGATGTAAACGTATATAAAGGAAGTTAAATTATAATGAAAAAATTTATACAAATACTCCCAGAAATTTAGAATTTTACAATAATACTCCCAAAATCAAATAAAGACATTGATGTTCCCAATTAAGTTTTAAGTTTACATCATTACTCCCATTTTGTTTAATCAATTTTTCTAATTAGTGTTACATATAATTAATTGATTGTGCTTAATCAATTTTTAGTTTACCTCTCTTCCCATAATAGGGGGGTTTAGAGGGACATACATATTAGCACAAATATTATGCTTGCAATTCGGACCCGGATGACTTTCTTTGTTTGATGAAGATGAAGACTCGAAGAACTCCACAGATTTGAAGCAAATCCTTGCTCTCGATGGTTTCTCAATAAAACATCATAAACAATTGACATCTTTCCTTATGAGAGAGACTATATGTGATATGAAGAATGAAGAAAAGTTATTCGTAAAGATTTACCGTTGAACCTTGGGTATGAAGAATGAAGACGGATAAATTTTGATTATATTGTACTCTGTATTTTTTTTGAACTCGCGAATGGTTATTACTCCTTAAAATAGAAAATACAAATCAAATTTGCCAACTAAGCTCATTTAATGACACCTAAAAGTAAGAAAGATTGAATAGGCACAATGAGAGTAACCATGTAAACATAAAATTTAATTGGAAGCATAGAAGTCTTTATTTGATTTTGGGAATATTATTGTAAGATTCTGAATTTCTAGGAGTATTTATATAAATTTTTCAATTATAATATACTTTGTATTTATGTATTAACTTGTGTAGCTTAACTTGAATATATTTGTCAAAGTACTGAATGGAATACATACATATTTGTATGTGTATTTGTTTTGCATTAATACTAATAAATACTGTACTACTCCGTAGTATTTAGATTCTTATCATCTTTGCAAATGCAAATCGTTGTTTTCGAATAAGAATCACACATCAAAATTAAAATTATCGTCATTAAAAAATTATTTACTCCGTATGTTTTTCAAATCCAATAGTTAGGTCAATGGCGGAGCTATACTATTGGCAATGGAGGCATTTGCCGCAGCGATTTTAGTTTTTTTAATAGTACTCAAGTTTTTTAAATACAAAAAGGTCCCAACAAAAATAGTTTCTAAGCGGAAAATAAACTATTATCGTTAAAATAAAAGAAATTAAAAATAAAATTTTTAAAAATACTCCATACTAAATAAAAAACCACCCTAAATTGAGGTAAATTATAGATTTTATTTTCAAATTAAGAATGACATGTTTTTTTCTCCAAAATAGGACATTGAACTATGATAATGTATATTAATATTTTATCATATTTTTTAGTATTATATATTGTTATTATTGATATTACTCAGTATAAGTTTTTTTTGAATACATAAAAATACAAAAGTCATATTTTGATTTTTATCCTATATCTTACTTTTATTGTATATTGTTATTATTGATATTATAAGTTCTTTTTTGAATACATAAAAATACAAAAGTCATGTTTTGATTTTTATCCTATATCTTCGTTTTTTCACAATTATTTTGAATGCTTCTGTGGGTTGAAATTTACTCCGTGTTTGGTTTTATAATTTCACATTGTTTTTTGCTTTAAAAAAAGAAAAAGAAAAATGGCGAACGCTTACGGCGCTAGTCTCGGATTCTTGTTCCGCCGCCGAGTTAGATTCCTAAACAGAGAACCCTATTTGGGGAGAAACATGAACGGATGAAGGTAAAACATGCGAGAATCTCTTTGATTCCATTGGCGTAGATTTCACCCCCCGCGACGGGAATAAAAAAACCCAGTCAAACACACTCGGAGGGCATTCATGAATCGTATCTGTCGCAAAATGCCAACAACTGGAACAGGAAAGGAATATCATATCTTCATGTTGAAGATTGCAGTAAGAAGAAAAGTTAATTTTCTACGCATATATTCGTCAACTGCTTTTCTCCGAGAAGCAGTTAGTGGTGTAGGCCACTCCATGAAAGGAAAGCTTCTGTGCTCAAAACTTTCTGCAATCACAATAATCATAGGGACTGCCGATCTGCAATTGTAGCAGATCTGTATGGAGGAGTATATTAAGGAGAATTTTGGGGAGGTGAATGCCAATAACTCATCGGTGGAGGCTCTGGAGAGATGGAGAAAGGTCTGCTGGCTCGTTAAGAATCGCAAGCGCAGGTTTCGATTCACGGCCAATCTCTCCAAGCGATTCGAAGCTCGTGCTCTTAGGCGCTCTAATCAGGTTTCACTCCCTAGCTCTCAGCTACTCAAATTATCTACTCAAATTTCTCTAGGACAGGCTTTTTCCCTTTAAGTGTTATATATTGTTGTTTGTGGAACATAAACTATTACACTGGCTGGATTTCTGTTCCTCATTGGCTAGATTTTGTTCTGTACTAGGAAATTCCGTTATGGTCGTTAATGAAGTTAAGATCAGCTTTGAATGCAGTGAGTCCTTGTTAGTCTGTAGACCAGTTAGCTGCCCATGTCAGCCTCTTGGTTATGCTTGACGGTTTCCGAAACATATACCTAATTGTCATGTACTATTATAGGAGAAACTGAGAATTGCTGTCCTGGTTTCGAAGGCTGCTATTACATTCACTCAAGGTATGATTTGCCTGCTCCATTTTGGAGTTTGAAGTTCTCAGTGCTGTAGTGTTCTTAGGTTGGTATTCCTTGATTTACTTGCAGGTGCAAGTTACTCTTTGCCAGAGGATGTCCAAGCTGCAGGTTTTCAGATATGTCCTGACGAACTAGGTGCTATTGCCGAGGGTCATAGTTTGAGTAAACTGAAATTTCACGGTGGGGTTGAGGGCATTGTGAACAAGCTCTCAACATCAATCGAAAATGGGATTTCTACTTCTGATGATTCCATTAACAAAAGAAAAGAAATATTTGGAATTAATAAGTTTACTGAAAGCCCTGCCAGGGGATTTTGGGTATATGTATGGGAAGCCCTCCAGGATACTACTCTGATGATACTTGGTGTGTGCGCTTTTGTGTCTTTAGTTGTTGGTATATTGACAGAAGGATGGCCAATGGGTGCTCATGATGGACTTGGGATTGTAGCTAGTATCCTACTCGTGGTATTCGTGACTGCTATAAGTGATTACAAACAGTCTTTACAGTTTAAGGATTTAGATAAAGAGAAAAAGAAGATTACAGTTCAGGTTACTAGAGATGGCCTTAGGCAAAAAAAATCAATTTACGATTTACTTCCTGGCGATATTGTTCATCTTGCCGTTGGGGACCAAGTTCCGGCTGATGGACTCTTTGTATCAGGATTTTCCTTGTTAATTGATGTATCCAGCTTAACAGGAGAGAGTGAGCCAGTTAATGTGACAACTGGAAAACCTTTTCTCCTTTCTGGAACTAAAGTCCGGGATGGATCTTGCAAAATGCTTGTCACTACTGTTGGGATGAGAACTCAATGGGGCAAGTTGATGGCTACTCTCAGCGAAGGAGGTGACGATGAGACTCCATTGCAAGTTAAACTGAATGGAGTGGCAACTATAATTGGCAAGGTTGGTCTCCTCTTTGCTGTTATTACATTCTCTGTTTTGGTGCAAGGTTTATATCTGAAGAAACTGAGAGATGGCTCCCACTGGAGCTGGTCTGGAGATGATGCGCTGGTAATGCTGAAATATTTTGCTATTGCTGTCACTATCGTCGTAGTAGCTGTTCCTGAAGGGCTTCCATTGGCTGTAACCCTGAGTCTTGCATTTGCTATGAAGAAGATGATGAATGATAAAGCACTTGTCCGCCACTTGGCAGCGTGTGAGACAATGGGATCTGCCACCACTGTATGTAGTGACAAGACCGGGACATTAACCACTAATCATATGACTGTTGTAAGAGCTCGCATTTGTGGGAAGATCAAAGATGATCATATCGATGTTCCCACATTTGGTTCTGGGATTCCTGATAGTGCAATTAAAATTCTACTTGAAGCGATATTCAACAACACTGGAGGTGAAATAGTTAAAAATAAAGATGGGAAAACTGAAATCTTGGGGACACCCACTGAGACTGCTCTGTTGGAATTCGGTCGTTTGCTTGGAGGGGATTTCCACTCAGTGCGCAGATCCACAGAAATCCTAAAAGTTGAACCGTTTAATTCTGACAAGAAACGAATGGGTGTAGTCTTAAAATCGCCAAACGGAGGCTTACGTGCACACTGTAAAGGGGCGTCCGAGATAATATTGGCAGAATGCAATAGTGCCTTAGGACCAAATGGTGAGGTTATTTATTTAGATGAAGCTTCAATTGCAAGTCTGAAGAACTCAATCGATAAATTTGCATGTGAAGCTCTTCGAACAATTTGCCTTGCTTATAAGGACATAGGAAGTGACTTCTCCATTAATAATCCTATTCCCTTTGAGAAGTTAACCTTGATAGGAATTGTGGGGATTAAAGATCCTGTGCGTCCTGGAGTCAAGGAATCTGTTGCTATTTGCAGGTCAGCTGGGATCACTGTGAGGATGGTCACAGGAGATAATATAAACACTGCCATAGCAATCGCTAGAGAATGTGGAATCTTGACTGATAATGGACTTGCAATTGAAGGTCAGAAATTCCGAGAAATGAGTGAAGAGGAACTGCTTGAAACTATTCCAAAATTACAGGTGAGTGCAGGCAGCTTTATACTTGGGATCCGTTTGGAACATATAAATTTTAGGGAAAGAAATAGAGGGAAAATAGGGAAGGAGAGAAATGTCAGGGGAAAATAGAAAATTTGTTAAAAATCAAAAAATCAATTTCGGATATTTGTTCAAGTGCATATTTTTCATATATTTCCACTTCTAGTACATAATGACTAAGAAGTCAAAAATATGTATTTTCCAAGGTAGAACCAAACATTAAAAACAGTATTTCCCTATACAAGGATAAACAATGTCGCTCTATGAAGCCTAATATATCAGCTTCTACAGGTCATGGCTCGCTCTTCGCCAATGGATAAGCACACACTAGTGAAACATCTGCGGACTACATTTCAAGAAGTGGTGGCAGTGACTGGAGATGGTACAAATGATGCTCCTGCACTTCATGAAGCAGATATTGGACTTGCTATGGGCATTGCTGGAACTGAGGTAGACTTAGATCCTGCTCAATATGATATACTCCACCCATCCCTTAAAAAGTGACGTGTTTCTCCATGGAACATCTTGACCCCCAAGCCCCAACGGAGTTGGGATTAAATTAAGTTGTTGTTGAGTAAGGTACAACTATTGAAGATCATCAATTATACCTACGATTTTAAAATCTATTAGTTGGTTTAACTAAAATTGCCATAATACCTTGTTTGAACATGGAAGAAATAACATAATAGTCAATCATATATCATTTCATTCATCCTTCATTTGATTTTGGGAAACATCTACTGAATTTTTCAAGATATATACGAAGCCCTCAAAAGCATCTTCCTCCAAAAGTCTAAAACCCTCCATCAGAGTAGACTATTAGGGTTATTATGAAAAAACGCCAGGTTTAGAAAAATACATCCAGTTTTTAATTTATGCATATCATTTACTAACCATATACTTACAGGTGGCTAAAGAGAGTGCTGATGTCATAATCCTAGATGATAACTTCTCAACAATTGTAACCGTTGCCAAATGGGGACGCTCTGTATATGTGAATATCCAAAAATTTGTCCAGTTTCAGCTGACAGTTAACGTGGTTGCCCTAATTGTCAACTTTTATTCAGCCTGTTTGACAGGTAACACAAATTTGGTTGAAAGGATTCTAATCAAGGTTAGTAACATATGGGTTTGCTGATATTGTTTGTTGTGGCACTTTCAGGGATCACTCCCCTCACTGCTGTTCAGCTTCTGTGGGTGAACATGATCATGGACACACTTGGTGCACTTGCTCTGGCTACTGAACCTCCCACAGATGACTTGATGAAGTCCCAACCCGTTGGAAGAAAAGGGAAGTTCATCAGCAGTGTAATGTGGAGGAATATTTTTGGGCAGTCTTTATATCAGTTCATTATCATATGGTATCTTCAAGGTTTTGGAAAAGCAATCTTTCGTCTTGATGGCCCCGGTTCTGATTTGGCTCTCAACACACTCATATTCAACACATTCGTCTTTTTCCAGGTACTTATAATGTTTTACTCCATCTTTCCAAAAGAAAAAGTCATGCATGTAAAGGGTACATTTGAGTTTAACTCACTCAGAAGGACCCTTAAAACTTGAGGTGTATCTCACATTTATATACTAGACTCGTCCCAGTAGAGACAATTGAGGCAGGATGCCCAAGCCCCCCCCAAAGGATCGTCTATGTGTATACTAAACTCAAATCAAGTATAAAAACTAATTAATGTGGGATACTCGACTGTATGTATGAATATAATTTTCGGGATGAAAGTAATACTCCCTCCGTTCTAAAAAACACTTCCTCTTTCATTTTTTTCACTTCCAACAAAACACTTCCACTTTCTATTAAAAAACCACTTTTACCCTTACTTTTTCATACCCTACCTATCACATCATACTTTTTCTCTAATAATCTACCCATCACATCTTACTTTTACCCATCACATCAAGGGCAAAATTGGAAGTCAACTACAATTTAACACTTCCTTATTTTTCCACTTTTTCAAAGTAGGAACTCTTTTTGAGAACGGAAGGAGTATTAATCAATCAACCAGGTTTGGTATGGTTCAAGAAATAGTTCTCAATTCACTAATTATTTTCTAAATTTTTGTCCCCATTGCAGCATTAGCTTATGCTCTTGATTTCTAACATAATACAACGTCCTCCCATAGAAAAAGATTTTTGTCTGTAATGCTGAAATAATAGTATTACAAATAGAACTCTTTCTTTTTCCGGCATGAATGGATCATTAGTAACTGTCTTATAATGACTAATGCAATATTTGTGACAGATTTTCAATGAGATCAGCTCGAGGGATATGGAAAAGGTCAATGTCTTGAAGGGCATACTAGACAACTACGTATTTGTTGGTGTAATTAGCTGCACGATCGTCTTCCAAATCGTTATCGTTGAATTCTTGGGAACCTTTGCAAACACTACTCCTCTTACCATGCAACAATGGCTGGCAACGATTGCCCTCGGGTTCCTAGGCATGCCTGTTGCTGCCGCCGTGAAGATGATCCCTGTATGATCGATCAATCTCTTTCTGAAGATAATACACTAGTTTGATATCATAACCATTAAAGAGTGGCATGTGTTTGATTGAAGCCCTTGCGTGCTAATGGGACATCTTATTAGTTTGATAAGGTAATTATTATGATTATTTTGCAGTATTTCTTGATATTGATTTTTTTTTGAAGAACTAAATATAGCTGATTTTTGTAATAAGGGGAAGTCTTTTGCCATGTTTTAGTCACACCCATAGTCATTAAAATCTTAAAGTATGTTTCCGTTTTACGTAGAGAGCACATTTTGTGTAACCTTATGGCAACATATTGTGTACTTAAGTGTAAATCAACAAAATACTAGAAAGGTTTACTTCCAACAAATGTAATCAAATAAATAAATCACAAGTAGAATGAAAAAATCCAAGCCCACACAAGTTCACACATTACAAACGCCAACTCTAAAGCAAAACAAAGCATCCCAAGCCCACCCTTTTAAAACATGGGATTGCAAGAGATTACATATAAACACCAAAACAAAATAAGTTATAAATAAATAAGTAATAAAAATAAATTTTTAAAAATCAAAGCAAACAAAAAAAAGTTGACATAATAAATGAAGAATGACTACTAAGCTTTGGACTCAGGCATCTGGACACTTTAAAAAAAAAATGGTCACAATTCTATAACATGAGTCCTCTTCCTCTTTGAGCCAACAAGACCCAAACTCTTTGGAAGCTCTTTTTTCTCCATTTCTAATCCCTTCATTTGTTTATAGCACCACAAAACATCATCCTGCAAAATTCATTAGTAATAATAATAATAATAATAATAAATACATTCCCTAATAATGATAATAATAAGTAAGAATAATACTCACAATGTTAAGACATCCACCTGAAGGTAAGGCATTGATCTTAACCTCCAGATCCTCTTTGACTAGTAGTCCATCCAGTGCCAGTAAGGTTGCTGCTGCTGCTAGTACAGATGCCCTATGCCTCATTAACTTTGCATCTGGCCCCATCCAAAATTTGTTTTTTTAAAAAGACGAAATCGATCAAGGAGATATATTACTAAACGATAATCATAATATATGTTACTTCGTAACAAATATACAGAGTTAAATTATTAATGACTGTTGATACGTGCAAGAATTTCAAGTTACACTTGATACATTTTCACGGTCGTTAATAAGAATTAAACTCCTCCTGCCATTATCTCTTTTAAATTTGCACCTTTTTCTAGGAGAAAAAAGTGGTTTAACAAACTCTTTATATAAAATCTGATGAGAAATCCATGAAAGCTCAAACTTTGGGCCACAAACTCATCATTATTGCTTTGCTGAAAGTTTTAGATCAGAGACTTTAATCTTTTTTAGAAAAAATAAAGTCAACCTTTTTCCCAGATACAAATTAATTAAATTAGCCTCATAATAGGGGACAGGAATGAATCATGCATCTCCCCAACTATACAGTAATCACCCTAGAAGACTACCATTTCTGGCTGTTTATGAGGAAAGTTCTTCCAAATAATTTCTATAATAAAAAAACTTCATCCATAATATATATATATATATATATATATATATATATATATATATATAGTTGGAAATAGAATAATAATAATTACCTGTGAGGGCATTGAAGATGATGATATCCACAGTTGTTGTTGAGCAAATCATCTTAGGGTGGGAAGGGTTTGGAGTGAAATATGATAAAAAGTAGGGAGTGAAATCAAAAGGGGTAGTGAAGTGCAATTTCCAGTCCAAAGTGTTGAGAACCAAAAGCTCCATTCTTTGGATCAAACTGCTCTGAAAAATGAAAGGCTCCTCCATTGGGTACTCTGTTAGTGATGGAATCTTATTATTGCTTTCCTCCATTTTTGCTGCTATGGAAACACATGCTATCCCCACTACCTTCATTGCCCACCACTTTTCTCCCTATCCATTTATTTATTTATTATTTTAAAAAAAGATAAAGAAAATTTAAAAAAAAAAAGTATTTGATTCACAATTTTTTTCTCTCGTCCAAACAAATTATAATGATAAATTTTTCAATTTTTAAGATTTTTCTTGAATTTCCTGAAAGTTAAATAAGGAAGTTTTATTGCAAGGGAAAGAAATACTACCTGTATGCTTCCTCTGTTATTTTTAAAATGTGTATTTTGATTTTTGGCTTGACTTACAATAATTTGGATTACAAAAATATACAATGAACTAAAACATAAAATGTAAACCAAAATATTTCGAAAGATATTGTTGCCTAAATTTAACATTTAACGCGAAAAAGTGATCAATTAAAAAATATGCATTTACTTGGTTTGTACCAAAAAGAAACTTTGACATCACGGATTTTAATTAAGTTGTTAAAAAGTAAAAAAATGTATGAATATATTTCGTTTAGAGGAGAGGAAAATATTACAAGTCACTTGGTTTTTTTTTGTTTATGAAAGAAAAAATGAAAATTTTATTTTAAAGAATAATGAAAAAGGAAAAAAAGAATTCTTTTTCCCAGGACAGAGTATTAAAAAAATAACAAAATATTCAGAAATATCCTCACAACTATGGTTCTTCTTGAAAGGAACCTATCAAGATAAGTGATTGACAGGTAAACCGTTTGCATTCCGAACCCAAAAACTGCTCCTGTCTGGGAAACAAAAAAACAAAGAGGACTAAAATGTCAAATTTCCTTCCAAATGGACTAAAAAAGATCAAGAAAAAGAGAAAGAAAGATGATAGATAGATACAGACTTTGATAATGTAATGTATTGCATTGGATCGAGCTTCTTGGATCCATTTCTCCTGCGAAGGTTCAAGCTTTTGGAATCCCCCATTAATGGCGGTTTCTCTGTCAAGCAACATTCGTATATACCCATCATCATCATCATGATCTTCCTCCTCTGCAGGAATCAATGTGGAGCCATTTCTTTGGTAATCATTGAAGCTCCACCCTCCACTTTCCGAGCAGAACAGAGTTGAGGGAGACAATGTAGGATTTCCCATCTTAACTGGGATCTTTTATTTTTTTGACATGAATCAATGAGGGTGATTATAAGTGGAATGATATATATACACACACACACACATATATATATGTCTCTCTCATATATATATATGTGTGTGTGTGTGGGATACAAGTGTGAATAATGAGATTTGTATCCCAATTTGTACACCGCAAGTGTGCACATTCAATTCATTTTGTGCCAGTTTAATGTTAGGGTGATAGTTCACATATACACAAAATGTTAGTGCAAACTTTTGTTAACGCACCATCATTTTGCATCAATGTGAACCATCAAAATATTAGTGTATACCTTTGCTGTAACTTTGAGGTATACTTTTTTGTGTAAGTGCAGCATGGTTGAAAAAGTCTAATCCCAACCCTAAGGTCTTCAGTATTGCCCTCGATAGTAATTTAGGATGGAGTAAATGAATTTAGAGTAATTTACCTAAATATGATTAAAAGATAATGACTTTCTCAATATAGGACCATATGTTTTTGTTTCCCAATGTAGGACCATTGATCATTATCTATTAGTCATTATTTAACTAAATGTCTAGCATTACTTGGACATTATTTTTCTCACTAGTAATTATTAAGTCCTATTTAAGGAATAAAAAAGTTTAAGTCATACATTGGGAAATGACTTATGTTTTAGTTCTATTCAGTGCAAATTTCACATGAAGTTATAATTTCATCATAGCTGTTAGAAAGTGGGGACTCTTTTTTATCACGTGCAAGAATTTCATGTAGAGTATTGTCATTTTTTATCGTCATTGCCAGGAATCGTACTCAAGTTTACCTCCTTTGACACCCATCATTCAACTATCTGAGTTAGGCCCCGAGAGAAGAAAGAACCAATTATACTAAATTTACATCATAATTAAATACTCCCTCCGTCCATAAATAAACTTTCTCTTTCATTTTTTCTTTGTCCCCAAATAAACTTCTCTTTTCTCTTAAAAAACCCCTTTTACCCCTTACTTTTTCATACTCTACCTATCACATCATACCTTTTTACTACTCCCTCCGTCCCAAATTATTTGCAACGTTTGCTTTTTCAGTAGTCGCGAGAACTTTTGTTTATTTCTACGTTTTCATTGGTTATTTGATAAAATAAAATATTCTTGACACCTCTTATTTCGGACAGAGGGAGTAATAATCTACATATCACATCTTACTTTTACACATCACATCAAAGGTATTTTTTGAAAGTCAAAACCAAAATATCCCTCCCTTAAATCTTCAAAAAGTCAAAAACGGAAGTTTATTTAAGGACGGAGGGAGTATATTTTTTTACCGTTTGTGATAAAAAATGTCACTACTTTACCAAAAAAATAAAATAAGAAGATTTTTCTAGAAAGAAGGTAGTAGTAATAAGTGTTATCCAGCAAAATAAAGTTTCAGAGAGAAATTAGACTCGAATAAATAAGAATGAATTAATTCGAAAGACAATTTAGTGCCAGTGTATGACAAGTTAAATAGTGAAAATGTATGATTAAAAACTACCGAGTATTTAAGAAAAATGAAAAATTATGTATCACATGTTAGTGTTTCTTAAAAAAACTATGTGGTAAATAGGGAAATCTATTTCATGTCACTCAATGACCATAAAAAAGTGCGTGCATTTTTTTCCTTCAAAAAACAGCATTCAGCTTTATAATTTTGAAAAAATTGTTCAAGCAATTCTTGTTTTCAACATTTTTATTACACGTATTTAAACTCTAGTGCTAATTATGAGCGTCAAATCTAAATGCATTTTAATTAACATGTGTTTTTGAAATATGAATTGAAATTATGTCATGATTAACTCCTAATTACTCTCTTGAACTGGTATGTGGTGAGTTTCAGATGGACTACACCTTTATTCTCCTACAAAATTAATTAGGACATATCATTATTACTCTCTGTCCCAATATGTATAGGTCTCACATTAAAAAACATATATTTTAATAATATTTAGTGCACATTTTACATAAGTAGTTTGAATATTGTTTAGGCAATTCATTTCGAGGGAGTAATTTTTATTTTTGAATATTTTCATTTTGTGGTAAAATAATAAATGTCCAACTTGTTTTTTTATTTATTTTGCAATAGAATGGTTTCACTAGTAAGGTGGAGGGGAGCCCACATAAGTGCATAATTTCCCACACTCCCTTCTCCAATGAATGCATGCATATTGTAATGAGTCCGATCCCACATTCGAAAGCTTTTCTCTTTTTTTTTTTTTTTTTGCTTTTTTAATTTATTACTCCGTATTTATAAATATTTTCCATTATCCTACTCGAATAACTAGTTTTTAAGGTACTAATATCTTAAAGATTTATGTTCATTACGATGGTACTTTCATTGAAATCCGACTAAACAAAGATAACTATTCGTAAAGCTAGAAAACTTTGACCCGTAATAAAGGCTATAATGCAAATTACAAAACACGAGCTCTATGTAAATACCAGAAGGTACAATTTGACTTTGTGTCATAAATTTTGATTGAAATTATAATTCAATTCACCTCCACTTGACCAACCGTTCAACCAAGATTATGTGATTTACCCTCCATTTTTTTACAAAAAAAAAAATCTTAAAAGTTTATTATGTTCAACCATCTATTAAGCGGAGAATTCATTCATACTCGTAGTCTCGTATTAAGCTAATAATATCGGTGGATTTCAACAAAGTTAGGGAGTTGGCATCTAAATGACAATGGAGAAATATATCTCTATGTAAAGTTTACACCTCCACATGAAGGGAATTATACAAGCAATTTGAAAGCAAACAAGACGAGACTCATCTGTGTCGTTCAAAAATCAATATATCTCACGTTTGGCACCGTACCACCTTTGACGTGATAACGTCTCACAGACACACCGAGCTGAGACAACAATAAATGTCTACGCAAAAATCATCTCACTGTGAGACACTACAGTGTCAAAGGTGGTGTCAAACGTAGAGTTCCCAGCCAGTCTTCAAGATTTTAGATGGAGCATCATCATCTGATCTATCTATATGCATGTCATTACAGTTACAAGTTATGGGCAGATCAGATCATGAGAATATAGTAGAGTTAAAATGGATGAAAGAAAGGCAGCAGGGTGGGTTGGGGTTCCCAATACTTTGACTGAATATAATTCTTCTGTGGGGTATAAACCCCCCCCCCCCCTACACCCTACCCTATAGTCCTATACCCTACCCCAGGGGCCAATTCAACACATCATATAGCTGTGTGTGCACAGATCACATGCCTTAACTTCTTTCTTCTTCCATATGTTTATGCAATACCCCACACACACACACACACATCATTTCATCTTCATTTCATTTATGTCTCCTTATTCCAAGCCACCACCACTACATTATGTGCTCTGTTAATATTTGCATGAGGTTCCCAAGTGGTGTACCCCAAGTGTAACACCATCCTTTTCACAGACACAGACACTGTGTGTGTCTGAAACATAGAAAGTGGATGTTTGTGTGTCTCTGTGAGAAGGGTGGTGTTACACGTGGGGTACATCTACGTTTTTCCTCTTTGCATATATGCACATCAATACCATACACACAAAATCATACCTGTAAATATGATACTTGTGGGATATATACATATATTACAAATTTACAATACTGTAGAGTTCCGTTTATTTATAGATTTGTCACCATATTTTTCTTCATCTATATGTGTATCCGAGCCATAAATTTTATTTTGAGCCGCAGGGAGTATATGATTAAGAGGAGATTTGACCTGCAAATTAAGTAGAGAACACGGTTTAGAAATGATAAATTTCATGAAATAAAAGCTTAGGGGTATAAGGTGGATTTTATAAAAGCAACAATAGGTTGTTGACAAAAGCATGCGTTTTAGTGTGGGTGTGTGTAGACACATGGATATGGATGTGACGATAAATATTTTATTATTATTTTTTTTATTTTACACTAAATTCTTTGACTACTCAAAATTTTACATTAAATTTTTTTACGCAAAAATCATCTTTTATTAACATATTAATGTATCCAAAAATCATCTTCCCTTTACTTTTAGTGAAATTTAAAATTATTGAAAAAGCATTATTATCATTTAACTACTCACCTACAATCTATTTTATTTATCAAATAAGGACTAGTCATTTCTCCAACAAATAAAACGGAGTTCTCTCTTAATTTCAAAAAGACCATTTTTTGAACATTCCATAATATATTTCTTTATTTTTTTTATTAATAAACATGTAATTCACAAGATTTCTCTCTTATCTATACAGATTCTAACCAAATAATTTTTTTTTTCACTTTTTAATCTGTAATATTTTTCTTAAATTATTAAAGCCATGGGGGTAAAGTTTTTTGGGATGAAGTGTTACTGTTGTTAAAATTACTAGGAGTATTATTATTGGGTGTGTGTACAAGTTAACTGACAACCAAGTAGGTCTATGTCTTCTTGATTTTAGCACAAAATCCAACACAGTACTTAACCTTAAATAATTGAACACACCAACTTATCTACAACTGTATGTTTAAGGCAATGACTTCCAGCAGTTGTTGGGATGGCTTTTCACTAGGTTTCATGACAATAAATTTCATTGACCATTTGACCTGTACAATAACTACTACTCCCTTCGTCCTAAAAAAGATCTTCATGTTTCATTTTTTGCGCATCTCTTAAAACACTTCTATCCCACTTCAAATGCAAAAAAACTTTCAAAACAACTTCTACTTACAATAAATGAGAAATATGGTAACTTTTAGGTATTTAGGATGTGTATAAAAGTGTTTTATAAGATGCGCAAAAAATAAAACAGGAAGATCTTTTTGAGACGGGGAATACTACACTACTAACCCCCCAAGCAATTCCACACTCAATCGGGAACTTTGCACTATTCACTATTCCAATTGGTATTCTGTCCCTAAAAAAATGTCCCTGCACAATTCCCAAATTAGTGTGACTTTTGTTTTGTGTATTGTTTTTTTGTTATCTGATACTCTGTAAAATAAAATACTTTTGTTACCTTTTGTTATGTAAATTTTTTTATATAATTTTTAAATATGCAAGTTTTATTTTAACTTCTTATTATTTACATACTAACCTTTAAATAAAATAGATTGAAAAATTTTAGAATTTTACTTCGTTTTACACAAAATGATAATCTTTTAGAAACAGAGAATATGTTTTATTCTGTTAATTAATTTTACAAAGGCTTAGAGTGACACAGCCTAAGATTTTTCTAAAGTAAAAATTGTAACAAAAAGGGGGCACATTCCTTTATACCAAATGTATCCCCACTGCATTTACTTTCAACAATGTACATATGGTACTGTAACGTCCAACCTATATTTTGTTTTTCAGTTAAGAGCTACAAAAAATAAAAATAAAAACAAATCAAAAGTTGTAATGGAAAAAGAATATTACCTGAGAGACCAAAGTTAAGGGAGTGTAAAAAATCTGCTGAATAACAACAATTGAGATTTACACTCTTAGACTTCTTAAGTGGTATCTGAATTAGAAACAAAATCAAAGTGTTCAGGCAATCCCCAAAATTGTTTGCTTATTTATTAATTACGGAGTATAACGAGTACGGCCGAGAAGAAAAAAAGAGCAAATAAAGAAGAGGAGGTTAACTAACTCTCACAAGTGTTTCTAGTCTATAACACCCTTCATATGATTATAAATGAAAACAATCCTAAACACAACCCCAACATTGGGCATCTGTGTTTAATTTAATACCCCAAAGATATCTTCCTAATCAAAGTGGACATATTTACAAAGCAAAATTGGTCAGCTCGTCCTTCCTAAAATGTTGCAAAGTGCTATATTTACCTTTCTCTCCTTGAATAGCGCTGCCAACTTCCACTTGAAAAGCAGAGTCGCCATTTTGATGGTACACTAAATCGTCTCATACCCATTCAAAGTTTGTTTCTTTAGGCAAGACTAGACCGATGAGGCAAGGCCCGGGGTTGGGCTCAAGAGAAAGCATGGACCAGATCTCTGGACACTGTGGAAGGATAAAGAGAATTCTAGCCCACATAGATTTCACTGCTGGCATTTTAATTACACCCGCACATTCCCTCTGTTTCAAGTATGATATGAAATCCTGAAACTGGATTATTAAAAAAAACAATAGTAACGTGTCACTAACTGTATCAAGCGTATATTGATGAAAAATCACATTCGGTAAACAAACAAAAAAAACCAGTGGAAAATTACAGCTTAATCAAAACCCAATACGATTAGAACAGAGGAATAACACTTACACCCTTATGGTCATCTTGAGAAGCAGGAAGTAACCAGCATATCTCCCTCTGCATTGTATTGAACATCATTCAAGAGTCAGATAAATGAAAAACTACCTCTTAGGCTCCTCCAACTACACATTTAATGGATGGTAGCAAAAAGTACTTTCCTCATACACATGTCTCATGTTAATATGAATGGGGGGGGGTACATCCTTTTTCGAAAACAATCCACTTCTCTTAAGGGGCTTGTTGTGATTAATAAACAACAATAACTTACATGGGACAATCACGAAATCTAATGATTTTACAGCTCTAACAAGTAACAACAAATGGTTTCGTTTTTTTATTTCACTGTATGTCCACATGTGACACCACTTTGAAATTTGAATGATTCTGATAAGCCTCCAATCAGATTGGGGTATTCAAGAAGGAAAAAGAAGATGGCAAAGGGTGGGCCGGCAGAAGTGGAGCATCTCAAAATGTTAATGGGCATTTCAAACAACCCACTAAGTGGCTGAGTGGGTGGTTACGTAGCAGTTACCCAACTCCCCTCAGAGTGGGATTTACTCCCTCCGTCCACAAATTAACCTCCCGTTCACTATTCATATGGTCAAACTTTATTCACTTTGTTGGCCTATTTTCGTCACCCATTTGATAAAATAATATAGTCATGTCACCTCTAGTTTTGCAGATCTTTTGATATAGTTTTTTAATATGTAATTTTTATTTTTAAATTTCACACCATTTTTCATATAAAATGATTTGAAAATATTTTCAATCAAACATCGTAACGTGCAACGGGAAGTTTATTTGTGGATGGAGGGAGTATTACTTAGTGTCATGTTATTTTATTGTGTGATTATTTTCATGGTATTTTCCTTTGAGAATCTGGAGATTACCCCTTCTCGAATTGGGACTTGATGTACACTTTTTCATTCTAAATTCAATCAACTTGACTCAAGCTTTATCAGATTCCTTATGTTTTCATCAAATAGATAGATCAGATCTAAACAACTTAAGTACTGAAGTATACTACCTCCAGTCCTTAAGCAGTGACGTATGCTGTGTTGCTGTCTGCCTATAGCTTGAATAAGCTCATAGGTTGTGAGGTCTAAGTGAAACTATAATCTGAAGAATATTGTTGGCTTGGATTTCCGACAACGGGTTTTATGATTTTTGTGGGGTTTAGCTACTCTAATATGTTCATCATGGATTTAGGAATGATAAAACCAAAATAAATAGACTTAAAACAAAACTTATAAGGCTTATGTTATGTTCCCAAGCGCGACTACATGTCACAAGGCATTCCTTTTGAGTTAGTTGATGGCTTGAAGGAGAGGCAGTGTTTCCCAATGACGGGCACAACTTAGCTGCTGCAGCATGCAAAGCGAGAAGAAATGGGAATGAATTGGCCGATAAACATGAAGAGAGAAAGAGAGAGCTCATTCGCACGAGCTCGAAGTCCTTAGAAACTATGAATTTGAGAATGAAGTCCTTGGAAACTTTTGTATTATTGATTAAAGTTTTTGTTCAGCCATTATCAAAAGTTCTAGCATTAGTTATAGAGTATTCCTTATATCTCTTAATCCACTCTTCGTGAGAGTTAATTGGAAAGAGGCTAAGAATATATTCTCTTTTTTTGGGATCAACAAATGTCAGGTTTCCTTCATAACAAATCTCAGTGTTGCAATAGTTTGACAATTAGACTGGATTAGCCACACCCACAAGTTATGGTGGAACAGGACAAAATCCTTGTGTTCGTTCTTTGTTTTTTAGTTTTTCCACGTTACTTTCTTCCTCGGTTTATATAGGTTGAAAATTGTACAACATTCACTACAATTCTATTCACCCTCTCTAAAGCTGGGCACATTTTCTAACAATTGGTATCATAGTCAAGTTCTCTAAATAGACTAAATCGTTTGAGAGGACGATCTATGTTGTTTAAAGAATGTTGAACGTAAATATTAACGAAGGATAATCCACAAGAAGGCATGTTGGAAGACACGAGTAGCTTTTTGTAAGGAATGGTGCGAGATACCAATTACCAACGAAGAAAGTTGAAGAAGCATCAAATAGAAAGACCTAAGAGGGGTATGATGAAGTCGACATCAAGAAAGTTGAAGCTTGAAATTAATGTCAAGGCCATCAACTTGCTCTATTATGCGGTCAATCCGAGCGAAAATCAAAACATCCCTTGTTGCCAAACTACCAAGCAATTGTGGGACAAACTCGAAGTAAGTTAAGAAGGTATGTCCCAATTTGGAAAGCTAAAATAGATTTACCTACCCATGATGCGAGTATTTTTTTCCATGGAGAATGAGGCAATTGAAGACATGTTTGAGATATTCTCAAACATTGTGAACAATCTTGATGCACTCATTAAACCTTACTTTGACCAAAAAAGAGTGGAATATCTTATGAAGTCTCACACCGCAGTAGCAATCTAAGGTAAACGCTATTCAAGAGGGATGAGATAAAAACACACTCACGTAAGGGATCAAAAGTCCAATATTTTCCAAATATAATAATTGACTACCACAATAACAATAATAAACCAGAAAACCTAGAAATGGGCTAAAGACTTGCTTTGTCCTTCGAACATAAAGAAACAAAAAAGTTTGTATCCCTTGTGCTTTAAAGAAATAAGAGATGGTAGGTTGGTATGCACAACATATATATAAGAAAAAAAGGTCCAGCATTAGAAACTCACTTTGTTAGGCGGGGTACTAGAAAATGTAGATTTGACGTGCTGAAAATCTGTGCGTTTTGTCATATCTAACTTTGCAGGCCACCTACATATTAGAAGCACAAGCAATGAAAATAGAGTAAGAAAACTATCCCTTTGCCAAATTGAAGAATGATTGCAATATAGAGAAATTCCAATTCCTTACTCTGTTGGTTCCGCAACAGCACTTGAATACTTGCAAACAACAGATTCTACCCTCTGTGCATAAACTTTGCAGTAATGAATCCCACTTTTATTCAAGGATCCCTGCCACTGGTTCTGTGGGCATTGCTTCAAATTCTCTGAATTTAAAGATTCTGATGGAGGAGGCGGGGGTGGGGAATTAGGCGGGGGAGGAACAATTTGTGGCCCTGGATGAGGTGGTGATGAAGATAATGGGGGCTGAACCCCGGGTTGATTAGTAAAAGGATGTCGAAATTCAGTTGACGGGGGAGGGAAAGATGCTGAAGGAGGCCGATTATTCATGTATAGTGTATGATTGTATGGTGGAATTGAGTTTGCGTGAAACTGAGCAAGGGGGGTCACAGCAGCAGGCAAATACGGTGGTACACGCGCATTGTGATGAATACTGGTAGGCATTACACTGGATGGGGAAGGAATTGGAGGCAAGCTATGGTTCAAGAGATGTGTATCCCAACTACTTGGAGGGAAGTAACCAGGTTGTATAAAAGGAGTTTGAACTGGCTGCGATGGTGAAATAGTAGGGCGTTGAGTTGGTTGTGGTGATTGTACTATATGTGTGTGAATTGGATGTGCTGGTGCAAGTAAAGGCCCAAAAGGCACCTGGTGGTGCGCAAATGGACTTGCTTGAACCAGATGTGGCGGTGCGGCTAGAGGTGTTTGAAGTGGCTGTGGTGGTGCAACAGGAGGTCCCTGACTGAATATTGAGGGTCCCATAGCAAGTCCTTGAGTTGGTGTAGGAATGCATGATATACCTCCTGGTCCAGAGTGGAGTTCTCTTTCAGGTTTCCTGTATGCCCACATTTGATCACCACTGCCAGAAATGCCACCACCTGATATTTATATGAAGGTATAGACAGTGAGTAGTGAGTACCTTTTATCTATGGAAAACTACGAGTGATGAACAGTGAAGCTAAACTGTACCTTGGTTAAAAGGATCAGCAGCAATTTTGTCAACTTCCCTGACTTCATGCATATCTTGGCCCACAAAAGGCCTCCATTGTGGTTGAAATCCAGGATGTTCACTTGATGTCATAGCCCCATGTTCTGGCTTTATCCTAGGAGATGTATGCTCCATAAAACCATTGTCAGGTTTTGCAAAAGACGGAACATGATGCACTCCGGGTTTACTGTTCAAAAGTACAAAGAACATCACAATTAGACTCCTCGATTTTGATTAAGAGATGTAATGGTGTGCTACAAGTAGGAAGATAATATAACCAATGCCCTTTTAGAATTTGCAACAAGAAAACCCAGTGGTTACAAGAGTGTTCAAAAAACAAAGGATCCGTATATCTGTTGCATATGTAGTTGCATTATTATCAGAAAAATGATCTAATGTAGGTCAAACTATGACACATGCCCAAAAGTGACGTTTGTAACTTCTAATGGGAAATTTGAGATGTGTTCTTTCAATAGAAGGTTTCGTGACATGTCACAAGAAGTAACATTCGATTTCTTAAAAGGAGCTGCTTGGTATATGTGGCTGACTCAACTAACAAAGGAAAGTATGTTCCCACATACTCTCTTGCCAGCCAGAGTACACAAGCACACAGCATTTGTACTTCACTGTGAAATCAAAGATCACCTAAAACATTAAAATAAGTTATTTGGGAAAGGCTACCAACCAGAATAGAACCTTCATTTATGATTAAGAGAACGAATACACTTAGATGTTTTTAAGGTGGGTAGATGGATGGTAGTTTCATAATTAACTTTTTTGGACAATTTTAGAAGAAAAAAGGTAGTTTTATAAGGCGTGTTACAGGTTAACATTTCTCCCAGATTTCAAAACTCACATCTTATCATACCTTCAAAACTCACCAAACGGGCCCAAAGAGTTTTCCCGCTAAATGGGGTTGGGTTTTCAGATCAAGTTAGGTCATTTAAAATAAGAACAAAAGATGCTGAAAATTAAATTTGGGGGAAAAAACGATTTTGGAAATTGGAATGTTGATGCGGGCATTATTTTTCAATCTAATAAATTTATAGGAACACCATCCCTAGCACATTCCAAATAAAGCATGAAAAGATTTTAAACCTGGTTAACTGGACATTGGTCTGTTGCTCAATCATGGTATGAACATGAGATGAAACAGCCATACGACAAGGAGAGAAAGTGGAAGCCAGCCTTGAGCCTTCAGCATGCATAGTGGCATTCAGAGGGCCTGCGTTTGGGGGCCATATAAAGCAATTATTTGCATTTCGGCATTGCCTTAGATGATTCATTACCATGGAAGCCTCCTCAGGTGTCTCAAATTCCATGAGCAATGCAGCTTCACTATAGATATCAGTAACCGTGACAGGGCCGTTGTAAACTATTTTCCTTGCTTCATGGATGATATCATCCTTTGCCCATTGATTTTGAACATTTCCAATGTAAACATGAGAACTAGAACCTTGTGCAACACCATTTATAGTGCCCCTAGTTCCAAATCCTGAAGAGTGGTTTAGTGGAAAAGGTTTCTTAGGGGAAGGAGTAGAGCAAACAGCACCTCCACAGGTTCTTAATGCAGGGAGATGATGATCCATGCTTGGAGTAAGACTTCTCTCAGTTGGAGAACTACAGGTTCCACCATCGATGGAGAAACTTCTTGAGTACAATGGTCTTATTACAGGTGAAGAAACTTGTTGATTTGACAATTCCCCAGAAATGGAGGACCTATTATACACCAAATCACCTTGCTCCTTAGAATCAATAGTCATGGACCTTGAACCTAAATTATCAGTATTCAAATGACGATCTGGTAATTGAGAAACCATTGAACTTCTTGAAACCTCGGTAGTATGCCCTTGACTACATGCTCTAGGAATAAAACATTGATTATTATGTTCTCTTGAGCGAAAATCATCCTCACTTTCTTCAATAATATCGTCTATCTTAATTTGATCCAAAGAAGAGTCAAAAACCTCTTCCAAAATAGATGTAATTGCTGAGACAACCTGAGAAAATCCTGACTTGCATAACTTCTTATGCCTAGAAATGATCCATTTTTTTAATGATATATTGTTGTTTAGAACCTGTATGGAAACAGCCAAGGATGACACATTGACAGCAAATGCCATAAATGTAAATTTAACAAAGCTAAGTGTACACACATTTAATAGCAAAAAGTACTCCATAACAATAGTGCTAATATTATTACTATTATTAATAAAAACAATATTATTACAATTTAAGGAAAAAATGAATATATTAAGATAAGAATTTTTAATTTCAAGGTCAAACCATTCAAATAGTGCTTTAGAATAAAATCTGTTTTAATGGATACAGATTATTAACCAAGGTGTAGAAAAATTCTTATGCAAAATATAGATCTAGCATTTCTTAGAATCCTATTATCATGAAAAGATAGATATGTGAGAATAGAAAGGCCATATTTATTTTAACACACGTATTAGATGCCAACATGTTTGAAATACTAAGATTGATGTCTTAGAATGCAAGAATCGTGGCAAGATGGAAGTGTCAATGGTCAATATGTTTTCGGTCTACAATCTACGAGGATATAAGAGGAGGAAAGTGCTGTCAAGATGGTCTTAATGAAGATGAGAAATGTTATAGTAGACATTTGGGAACATAAGAAGCATATTCAAAGTAGTATTAGAGTAACAAGTATTACACACAAGTAGCACAAGCTAAAATAACTAATTACTCCCTCCATCCCTAAACTAGAGTACACTTTACCCTAGCATGTGAATTAAAAAATGAAAACTATGTGGTAGAGATATATGCAGACTGTAGAGAAAAATATGAAACACAAATTCTTTTTCCTTGAGAGGAAATGGGAAAAAATGTTCAGACAGGCGAAAAATTAATGTGGAGAAAATTGCAGGACAGATGGAGTAGGAGTGTAGAACTAAGCATAGAGTATGCTAACAATAGGAGATGGATGGGGGAGAGGTAGAAAAAAGGTAGGTGAATGTTTGGATTGTGCTATTGCAAAGGTTTTTTACTTATTCAACACTGAACAAATATAGACTGTAGAGGATTAATAAACTATAGAAGACTTGATTAGATTAAGTTTCAACAACAACAACCCCAATATAGTGTCAACTACATTGAGGTCTAGGGGGGTCAAGATGTACATAAACTCACCCGTGCAAAAAGAGATAGGTTATTCCCATGAGGCCCATAATGCATGATGCATTTGCTTCCCAAAACTTAATAGATAACGTCATAATGATTGTAAAACCATTTGTGATACTGATTTACTTATAAAAGATGGTTGACCATTTGTGATAATGATTTACTTGTAAAAGATATAACGTTTGATATTTTGTTTACACAATAATTTTTAACTAACCTTACTCCCTTCGTCAATTTTTTATTTGCCATCCCTTTCTGGAATGTCCCTTAATAATGTTCCATTTTCATATTAAAAAAAGTATGCAGTTCATATTATTTCTCCCTCCTCTGCATAAATTTCACCCACACATTTTTTTATTTCCTATACTCCATGCAAAAAAAATGGGAGAATTAAATAAGGATTTGAAAGGAGTAGTATTTACTATTTCATGCAATGAATATTACATTACTCTATTCGTCCCACAAACCTTTCTCAACTTCTCGTTTGTCTGCCCTAGATGTGTCTAGTTTCCTTTTAAAGGGAAAAAATGATGTTTATATTATTCTGCCTCCTTCTAAATAAATCTCAACCACATTTTATTTTCTTAATCTCTGTGCTAGTCAAATTTGGCAAACTATTTTCATATTGTTGGATGAAGGGAGTATAGGATTACATTGTGCCCCTGAATGGTAAATGTCTTAGTGGGGTTAAGAAAAATGATATAAAATGAATATTACCAGGGCCAACAAGCAAATTTTTGGAACTGCTTTTGTATGCTTTAAGGTGTTTTTACTCTCTGTTGCAAAACCATTGTGGATACAATCATCGCCACTGTAGCTTGTGTTCTTAGATATAGACTGCATTGATCCATTGCATTCAACAATCAATGGGCGGGATGAAGGTACATCAAATCTCTCTATTAACTGCCTTAAAAAGTAATTTCCTTCTTTGTGTGTCTCAGCAGAGTCAAAGAGATCATAGCAAGTTGAAATTACATTTCTAGTGCATGTAAAGAAAATTCTAAGAAGACTTAGAGCACGAAATTTCATCAGCTTGAGCAGGCGGGAATCATCCAAAGCTACCACATTTTTCTGATATTGGGTTAATGAACCCAAAATATCATCAGTTTTGAGGAATTCCTTATCAACAATCTGGAAGATATTAGTCCCTTCAAATGAGGATATCAAGAAGGTCAATGCATCACGAAACACAGTTGTTGAGACACCTTGAATAACAGATGACAATGGTGCAGCAGTTGCAGCACTCTGGCAGATATCAGCTAGGCCAAATATGCAAGCTTTGACAATGTCAAATGCAATGCCATCTGCATCTTCCACTCTACTGACCACCGCAAAACTCCAATTATGCATATTGATTAGAACTTTGACAGCAGCTTCAAGAGCAGTAGGGCAGTGTGATGCATATTTAGGAATGAATTCAGCTGCTAGACGTTGTACACTACTGCATCCTGTGAAGCCAAATCGTGGGGAAAAATAGTCGATTTTAGAACTACATTGAAATGTCCAACCAAGTGCACCATAGCATCCATGTGGGAAAGAATTCTGGAAGTTACAAACATTTTTTTAAGTACACTGTTATCCTAACTAAGTATTATATGCAGTTTATATCTTTGCACTTTCACCTAGCCTTCACGGAGCAAGGGAACTTCAAACACATCACATCATGCAACCTTAAATCATGTGATATGAGACAGCTTTAATTAAAAGCATGGAACAACTGCTCAAGCATAGAACACATATCATCTTGAATATTATGTCCATATGACAGAATGCCTTAAAAGTCTACTTCAAAGTCACACCCTTTGACCTAACCTAATACCAAAATTTGTGCCAATATTTAGCCCATCTGTGGGAGAAATCCCTAGAAAACATCTAAAGACTCCTTCACATGACCGGTCACTGAGCAGCAGTTTATTCTTTGGTGACATCTACTTAAATGCATGAAGCATATATATTGTTACTACAAATACAAAAATTTAATAAACTTTGAGGGAAAAACATAAATAGAACACCAATTTGAAGTTTTGAACTGTGCCTAGCCATCACTGAAAAATTATTCCACACGCCTAAATTAATAATTGGAGTTGATAAACCACAAAAGGGAAGAGGATAAACATATAAAAGAGAGATTGGAAGAGATTGGACCTCTGGAGGCAGTGATGAGAGAGAGGTAAGCCCGTTCGATGTCAGGTTGGAGGCGTTTGTCTTTCTGAGCGATGCAGAAATTAATTCGATTGAAGCATCCATAGACATTCCGGATCTCTTCCTGGTTCCTCCTCCTCAGCAACACTTCCTCGTGTGATATCTGCGGCGGCGTAGGCGGAGGAGGCGGTTGAACCGCCTCCAACGGTGGTGGCGGTGGTGGTGGAAACAGCGGCCGTGACAGAAGCGGCACCGGGGGTGAGGATTCTGTGATATTTTCACCAACCTTCCGTTTCTTTAATGGCTGCTCCGGCTCAGCCATGGCGCTGAAAGAGAGAGAGAGAGAGAACGAAAGAGAAGTTTTGGGGATTGCGAAGTGTGACTCCTGCCTCACTCTGCGCTCTTTGTTTGTGTATTTACTTTTCTACCCCTTAGTCATGATGCCCGTATTCTGCAACTGATTAAATACGGAGTCATCATTAAAATATTACGGAGTAAAAACAAATTTACCCCATCTCAATTTTGACTTCACCTCTTGTGAGTTGTGACTTGTGAGGTTTTTTCAATTTTAATTTGTTTAAGATTCTAACTCTTAACTATTTATCCTTTTTAAATTGTTTCAGTGTCTTTTAGATTCTTTAGTTCTTTTTAATTCCTCTCAATTTTTTATTTTTTTCAATAATAACTTAAAAAATACTCCCTATTTAAGTGCCCGGAGTATATATTTTTCATATTATTATTATTATCATGCTTTCTTTTATTAGTTTTTGTGTGATGCTAATCCACAACCTAATTAGTTAAATTTATTACATTTGCCCATATCAAACATAAAGGATAAATTTATCTATTTGACACTTCCTATTTAATTGTATTATTATTATTATTATCTCAATAAAATAGAAATTTTTGATGTAATGTCACAAATTTGTAAAAAGTCCTTAAAATGAATTTTAGTTATCGTTTTAGATCCAACGTAAGTTTTTGCTTGTAAAATACTAAATTAATTAATTTATTATTCCTTTTGAAATTTTAAAATATTCTTTTAACTATGCTTCTTTTAAAACATTTTAGTTAACATTTTAAAATACAGAGTATCATTTTTCATTATATATGTTTATATATAAAAAGAGACACTATTAGTTAAAGTAACTACATGAAAGACTATGAAAAATCAAACCAAAAGAAATATTCTCTCCGTCCCTTAAAAAATTTCCATTTTGACTTTTAAAAGATTTAAAAGGAGTATATTTTGGTGTTGACTTTTCAAAAATACCTTTTGATGTAATGGATAAAGTAGGATGTGATGGTTAAATTAATAGAGAAAAGGTGTAAAGTGATAATTAGATTAAGAATTAGTAGAGCTTAAAGTAACTTTTTAATAGGAAAAAAGAAGTATTTTTTGAGACGAATGAAAAAAGAAAGGAGGAGGATTTTGTAGGGCGGAGGGAGTATATTAGACAGATGGAGTATTATCATTTTCTTAACAAAAAGGAATGAATATTATTTTAAGACAAAAGAAGTATAAATTGAAAACCCAATTACGGAGTATAAAGTAGTAATTTTTTTATGTTCAAAATTGGTCTTAATAATGTATAATAGTGGTTATATTATTGTTTTTGAAACAAAGATAATAATTATTTTTCTCCATCATTTTTGTAAACAACAAGGCACAACTCAACTTGTATAATTAGAGAAATATAAATCATGTCAAATCAGTATTTTCAAATACAAAATTAACAATGTTAGTCCCAAATCCCAAGTTATATTTAGGATTATTTTGGGATGATAGTGTATATCAATTTTGAATACATAGTCAAGTAGGAAAGTGTTTTCTCTTGTTCTTCACGAGCGCGAATCAAGGCCGCAACCTCACAACGGCAGCCGCACGTTGGGTCCACAGATCGTACAACTTGTTCCACAACGTCACAAATTGATGGTAGTAACCAACCACAGTTTGACCTTTTTGACGCAGAGATTGAAACTCGGATTTTAATTGATGAACACGAGGACCATTAGATCCCCCATATCGGGTCTTCAAATCCAACCACAATTCATGAGCCACTTTGTGGGAAATAATAGAAGGTTGAATATGTTCATCAACACTATTACAAATCCAAGAACAAATAATGGAATTATTGGCTTTCCAGGCAACAAGTTCCTGTTCATCGGTGGGTTTGGGAAACCCCGAAGGGAATAAAAAACCGGCGCGGTTGCGCCCTTCAAGAGCATTGACGATCGTTTTCTCCCAAACATCGTAATTGTCCCCCTTGAGAAGATGTTTTGTCAACGAGTTACCCGCACTCTCGGACGGATGGATGTAATAGGGAGAGGTGGGATCATGAATAAGTCGTACCTTTTTGGGAGTCTCGTCTGTCATAGTATGACAGAAGAAAATCGGCAGCCGACGTGAGGCGGCGTGAAAAGATCGCCGACGTGAGGCGGCGAGAAGTTGTCCGACGTGAGCTGGCGGCAGATACGACCGTCGTGAGGCGGTCGGCGTAACTACGGTGGCGGCACCGTGAAAAAGGTGAGCCTAGGGTTTGAGATATTCCCGGGGAATTGGCTCTGATACCATGTAGAATTTGTAAAAAACTGAACTGCTTTCCATTGAATATTCACGAAGTATAAATACAAGTGTGTTGGGCTTTGGGCTAGGCCTGATTACGTACAAGGAAATAAGAATATATACTAGGATACAATTATTTGGCACTACCTTCAACATTTAACCTTAGAATTTTAAAAATGCTATTCAACGTTAATCTTTGTCATTAAAATATCATGTAAAAGACAACTCTCAGCCGAAGTGTAAAACCGTTATTAGTGCTTATAACAGTCAAGCGGCAAAAGCCATATCCAAATGTCTGCACCAACAATAATTATAAATAGCGAAGTCGCAAACAATATGGGAGGAGCACCAATGTCACATACGCCACCATATCTCAGTATCAAAATGAGCTCACAAGAACAAACAATGGCTTGTCTCCCAACCGTTCACGGCCCTATGATTAAGCAAAACAGCCCGGCACACCGTTAGAATCATGCCGTGAAAGGAAAAAAAGGTCTCTTAAATTTTACTAACTCAAAGTGATGCTTATATATATATATATATATATATATATATATATATATATATATATATATATATTGAGGATATTGTCCCGCGTCATAAACCCAGTCTAGAAAAGACATATATGTATGAATTATAAGTAACTTCCTACTTTGCTAATCAATTTTGAACTGGAATCTCATAATTCTACAATAGGTAGTATAAAACAGTTAAAACAATGTTAGAATTAAAAAAAACAGAGGCATACCTTCAGTTCTGGCAGCTCAATAACACATGCACACTCAACCGCGATCCCGCCAACACGCTCTGCACAGTGAACAAAAAAACAAAGAAAAATATTACAACGGACTATTATTCTATATATCATGAAAATTCTAAGGAGCTATCATTTTTTTACGTCTTCCAAACTTTCCAATTTTCTCCTAAGCAATGTCGCAGAGACAGATTTGTGTATATCTCACCCCTTACCCCAATTGGAACGTATTGGTTTTTTGGGTAAGTATGGTTTTGGTTATCTGTATTCTTTATATATCACACGAAAGTTATACATCTTGTACTCTTGGGTGAGGTTTTAAAAAATTGTATGCACAACTAGCACGCCGCAGATAAAAATATTTGCATCCCCATGTACTGAAAGAAGTGAAAACACTTGATGAACAAATTAAGTAGCATACCAATTAGCCTGATTGCAGCACCCAAGGTACCCCCAGTTGCAATGAGGTCATCTATTATAAGGACATGTTCTCCTTCTTGAACGGCCCCAACATGCATCTCCATAATGTCTGTTCCATACTCCAAAGAGTACTCTTCTGAAATAACCTTGCCTGTCATTCATCGTATACAACATTATGAAAGGTATTTTGTAGGGGAATTTACGTAAATAACACTAAAACATAATGACTTTTCCTAAATAGCATTTCATGAGTTTTTTTCCAATGTAGCAGTTTTAGTCATTATTCAAGTAAATGTTCGCCATCACTGGACATTATTTAGTGCTATTTAGGGAATAAAACAATTTAAGTGCTATTTAGAAAAATGACTTAAGTTTTAGTGCTATTTAGTGCAAATATTTCAATTTTGTATTGTGAAATAAACCAAATGATTGAACTATGTTATAATGTTCATTGATGTACAAGCAACTGGAAGCAATTAAATTATGGTCTTTAAAGGGAGCCCTATAGAGTCATGCCATATTTTGTATGCATGAGGTAATTTAGTATACATTGCTCCCATATGGTATGTTTTTTTAGCTTGTCAATTACTCCGTAGATTTAGTACATTGCTCCCATATGGTAATTTAGTAGATTTTTCAAGAAACGCTAATCATCAGATGGATATGAAAGATGCAGAGCATTAGTTTCTTTTTTGGTTGAGTGCCTTGCCTGAAATTAATTAAAATGATACGTCAACCTTCATTTTAGATATTGTTTACTTTATTATATGAAAAACAAATTCGAAATAATTATTTTAGTTAATTCAACAAATTCAAGCACACATAGCCATATTAGGCCTTATAAAACGAGCTCTTGGATATCTATAGGACATACGCCGGTACAAAATGAGAAGGAAACAAGGGATGGTACCGGGCAACTTTTTGGGTTTCCTCAGAGGAACAAATTTTGCCCCTATGGCCAACGCTATAGGAGGACCAAAAATAAAGCCCCTTGCTTCAATACCTGCATCCAAAATTCAAAATGAGAGGATTACGTCTCCCGCAAGCCTGTTCAAAAGCCAATTTATCAAGTACCACATAGCTTTTGAAGAAAAAACTTATAAATCTAATGCAGGTATAGTGGTATGCATAAAGGCCACAACTATTATATCTCAACTCACAAGTCACAACCCATAGATCAGCAGCTAAAACATTATTGATATCGAATATGTCTTGCAAATAAATGGTTCTTGTAGTAAAAATCTAAAATACTGTACTGTAGTTCACTTGCTAAATAAATCAAAACACCGCCATTTTTGACAAGCACTTTAATTGGAATTGATCACGTATTAACCACAAACTAAATTCACTTCATAAACTCAACTATATAGTGTCAAGAAAACAATAATATGAAGCAGATCAAAAGACTTCTAGTCATTGGCAATAAAGAGTTTGCTCTTTTAGACTGAAGTTTACTGATACTCCTATAACTTAGCCTAACGGAAATTTTAAAAATTGTAATGAATTGAACTGAACTTAAGTGAACTAAAAATAAGACAAAAAGAACAAACTCATAAGCATGCCAATATGCCATACATGTGAGCACCAGAAACCTGTGATTCCTAATCAGGAAAGATTTAGCTCAAAAAAGAAAGAAGCTACTCTACAGAGAAGGTGCATGTGCTTTTTCTAGCACTTTGGTCTTCAATAGCTCGCAACATTAAAGATCAAAATCAAATGTGGAAAGACCTCACACAAAAAGAATGGGAAAAAAAGCTCAAAGTTTATAGTTGTAAGCCCAAGAAAGGTTTTAATAGTCTAACAAGCCCCCTCACGTGCAGGTGTGGTTGCTTTGAGCACGTGAAACCTTACTTAATTTTTTTAAAACTTGGTGGCAATGAGTTACAAACCCATGATTTCTTAGTCACCCTAACTCCCATGTCATGTCAAACAACCGACTCAGTTCGAGCTTTTGGTTGTAAGCCCAAAAAAGTCTTTTATAGTCTAACAAAAACACATAGATGAGACACAAGCAAACCAAATCTGCAGAGAGCAAGAATTGACAGCAAAGAAAGAGACCTGCAACCACATTGATATTTTTGTCCTTGTATCTCTCAACAAACATATCAATGGTGTCCTTAAACGCCTTGGGATCAAGAAGCAAAGTAGTTATGTCCTGAAACAGAATCCCTGCCAATGATCTCCAACATCAGACGAATCACAGAGAGGTCAACAATATAGACACAGATCGAAGAAATAGCTCAAGACAAAAAGTCAGTACCGGGTTTGGGGAAGTCGGGGATGACCCGGATTGTAGAAGCGATCCGGGCGATCCGGGGATCTACGATAGCCGGATCTTGAGAAGCCATCGCCGTTGAGCTCGACGGATCTAAGAAGGAGAAGGGATTCGGTCCGGATTTAGCTCCGGCTCCCGTTGACGCCCGAACTGGCTGCACTACTCTTCTTCCAGTAGCGGCGGTAGCTGCGGATGCGGCGGCAGTGGGATTTAGATTTATTCGGACCAAACTGCCACCTTGTAAATATTTTCCCAACTTTTCTCTGCCAAAATTGCCCCTGTGGAGTACCAGAGCGGATGGGTGGGCGATTGAGTCCATTTCTGTCCAATCCTAAGAAAATGGCAAAAATCCAAAGCCTTTAGAGTTGTTTTACATGTAAAGGAAAAGCTAAAATAGTCCAGCCAAGCTTCCCATGACATTGCTCGGTAATGTCATGGGATAACTCGTGGGTGCTCCAGTACCCCGTTCATAAAATTGATGGTTCTTATCTCTCTAACCTTTCGATGAACCCCCGTCCCCTTCAATTGCAGATATATATATATATATATATATATATATATATATATATATATATATATATATATATATATATATATATTATATATATATAGACACACACACACATTTATACATGTGAGCACCAGAAACCTGTGACATACATACAGTGAGAGAGAGGGGAGAGAGAGACTGGGATGTTACTAGATTTAGATTAAGTTTTACGCCTTTTGAGTAGCCTAATAGGTATATCATATTTTAAATGAATATATAAAACTAAATAATTAATATAAATATTCAATTAAGTGCATAACCCGTCGGGTCAAATCCGACCCAATCCATTCTGACCCAAAAATTTAACAAGTCTTTGGGTTCGTGTCATTTCAGTTTCGGGTTGCAAAATCGATGTTCAAAACCCGCTAATTTCGGATCAGGGTTTAGATTAATAACGAGTCGGGTCAAATTTTTCCAATTCTAGATTCTATTATGTTAGTGATAATTTGAAGACTAAAAGTGTAATTTGACATAAACCTTATATCTTGTGACGCATTATGATGTTGGTTAAAATGATAATACAACAATAATGACTATGCATGTGAACTAAGATTTCAAGAAAAGATTATAGTAGAAAGCGACTACGATAAACAATGCTCTGAAATTATGTATGACAATAATTATTATTTTTTAAATTTTGTAAAATCAAATCGAAACTTCTATTTAAGGTGGGAGGATATATGAGTGTATTATTCCCTCTGCCCCAAAATTATATTCACGTTCACTATTCACATGGTCAAATTTTATTCACTTGGGTTGACTTATTTTTCGTTGACTATTTGATAAAATAACATAGTTACGTAAGCTATACTTTTTTAAAACTTTTGATGTAGTTTTAAAATATATAAATTTTATTTTTAAAATTTAAATATTATATTAGGCTCTAGTTTTCATACTTAAGTTAAAATTTAGAATTAAAGTAGAGAGTGAGTCCCTAGACCTTTCAAGTTTAACTAAGGTTGACTATGTACTCCACACTCCGTATTAAGGAAGGAATAGTAAGCATCCAAAGGGCTCCACACAGCCGACTCCTTTGATCATCAAAATGCACATTCATCAGCTCCACCCCCCACTCCTCCCCTCCACTTGTCCCTCCTCCGCCCGCCCCATTCACCCACCCACCGCCACCGCGTCTTTTACCCCTTTCCTTCCTCCTGCCCCTCACGCAACTTCCTCCCCTCCCCCCCCCCCTCCTTTGTATATATAAACGTAACCCACCTCCCAAAGTCCACAACTCTCAAACACATCTCTCCACTCTGTTTCTTGAATTAATCAATCGAAAGCTTCTTCCTTTCCAACTACCGGCCGGCGGATCAGAGATTTTCAAAGACTCAGATGGCTCTTCAGGCTCTGAATTCCCCGACTGCCGCCTTGTCTCCGTCGTTTCCAAACCTCGATCAGTCTTGGGCCAAAGGGAAACGCTCCAAGCGGCCCCGCAGCGGCGGAATCATTACCGAGGAGGAGGAGTACTTGGCTCTCTGCCTCGTCATGCTCGCAAGTGGACGGACGGACGCTCCTTTCCCCCCGCCGCCGCAGGTGGCGCCGGCGGTGGCTCCCGATCACAAGCAGCTCCTGTACAAGTGCTCCGTCTGTGACAAGGCGTTCGGGTCATTCCAGGCTTTGGGCGGCCACAAGGCCAGCCACCGGAAACTCGCAGCCGCCGGAGAAGACCGGTCGGCGTCGCCGGCACCGCCCTCCGGTAAGGTCCACGAGTGTTCGGTCTGCCACAGGTGCTTCCCCACAGGGCAGGCGCTGGGGGGACACAAGAGGCGGCACTACGAGGGCGGCGCCAGAAGCGCAGCGTCCTCGTCGGAGTGCGTGGGGTCCACCAGCACCTCCCACCGGGGATTCGACCTGAACCTCCCCGCCTTGCCGGAATCCTCCCCTGTTTTCGCCGGATTTGGCGAAGACGAAGTAGAAAGCCCTCACCCGGCAAAGAAAGAACGGCTCAGCCTCGCCATTCCGGTGATTACTCTCAAGCTCAAGAGCTCATAAGACGGATCGGTTGGATCACAATATATAAATTTGTAGGCCTCTATATAGTTTTGGTTTGTTTAGTGAAATTTGATGTGTTTATTGTCTTCAGTTTGCAGTTAATTAGTTATAGTGTTAGGGGGGAGGTGACATAATAATCTTTGGTGTAAATGCAGACTTTTGCTTAATTAAATTCAATTGATTCTTTGTTTTTTTAAAATATACTCTTCCGTGATCTTCTCGTTTTGACTTTTTGTGGTTTTTAAGGAAAGTTGAAAAAAGGTGAAAGTTTACCAAAATACCCTTAATGAAAATGGGTGAGGTGTATTAAATAAGGTGGAAAAGGTGTAATAAATAAAGTAAGTGGGGGTAGTTGAGGTATTTTAAATGTTAAAAAAGGTAATGAGAAGATCTATGTGAGACAAATAAAAAGGGCTAATGGGAAGATCTATGGGGGACGGAGGGAGTACATTGAAGCCATAATTTCCTTTCTTGTTGATGTGGAACTATAAATTCACAGAAAAATGAAACAATGGAGTATTGATTACCACTTGTGCAGTTTGTGTTGTGCACTATACAATGCATAATTACATAGTTGACATTCATATGAGGCATTGAATAAACCCCTCCTTCCATCAGCTAGTAGTATTGAGCAATACAAATTAAAGGGGCTTTGCCACAGCCCACATGTATTATACTCGAGGGCTTTTTCATATACGCACCAACATTTACTGTCAAGAAGTTAGTGTACATCTGAGATTGTACCTCGTACCATTATCCTTATCAAAAAATTATGAATGAGAATTATGTTTGGCACAACTATATATAATCACATGTTTTCATAATTGAAATTCAGAATGCTCTTGGATAAGAACAAAAAAAAAGTCAATTACCTCATTTTAGGACCCAAAAAAGAAGTCAATTTTACAAGTTCAACCTAACTTGAGTTGGTTGGGTTCGAAGTAGTTCAAACTTTCAAATTCAACCCAAAAAATGAAGTCAATTTTATAAATTTTGATACTCCGTAGTCCGTCACATAATATTTATAAACAAATTATTTTTTGTACTATGTTTATATTTATTTGGTGATTAAAATTTATCTAATTTCATTAATAAAAATCAAAGTGGACAAAGATAAAAGTTTACAATACATTTTTTTTAGGGAAAAAAAGTTTACAATATTAATCCAATAATACTCCATTTGCTAAAAGCACAAAAAAAGAAGGAAAAATTATCTCAAATAATCCCACCTTTTCGCGTTCTTTCAAAAATAATCATACTTTTCACTGTTATCGGAAATAATCTCACCTTTCTGCATGTGTGCGAGTTTTGGGCCGCCGTTAAAAACCTAACGGCCACTTAACGGAAGTTTTAGAAAATGTCTATTTTTGGCAAATAAATGAAAGGTGGGATTATTTTTGGAAAATTTACTTTTTTTTTTAAATTTTAAATTTAAAATTAGTATTTTTTAAAAATATAATAGTACACTCTTGTTAGAGATTGGTCTAACGATTTACAAATTTTGTTTTTGTTTTGGGAAAATATAATACTTGGTATTGAATTATCAAAAATAATTTAGAGTATCGATTAAGAAAGAAATTGCAATACAAAAAAATTGTAGTGAGTTATAAAAGTTATTAGTGCCGTTTCGGAGAAAAAAATATTGTGCCATTTTCAAATTGAATTATCAAAAATAATTCAGAGTATCGATTAAGAAAGAAATTGCAATACAAAAAAATGTAGTGAGTTATAAAAGTTATTAGTGCCGTTT